AATCTAACTTCACTCTAACCCCTGCACCACCTCGGTTCTTGAGATCAAGGAATTTTCTAACACCATTCACAGCAAAGTTCAATGAGTTTAAACAAAAGAAGCAAAGCTTCCCATTACAATGTTCCTGAAAAGACAACTTCTACATTAAACCTCCTTATTCCCCCCCAACCCTATAAAACAGAAATGGTTGGCTGATGCTGAGATTTCTGTTTTATAGGGTTGGGGGGGAATAAGGAGGTTTAATGTAGAAGTTGTCTTTTCAGGAACATTGTAATGGGAAGCTTTGCTTCTTTTGTTTAAACTCATTGAACTTTGCTGTGAATGGTGTTAGAAAATTCCTTGATCTCAAGAACCGAGGTGGTGCAGGGGTTAGAGTGAAGTTAGATTGAAGTTAGAGTGAAGTACTGCAGGCTACTTCTGCTTATCACCAGCTGCCAACAGTTTGGCAGTTTGAATCTCACCAGGCTCAAGGTTTACTCAGTCTTCCATCCTTCTGTGGTTGGTAAAATGAGGACCCAGATTGTTGGGGGCAATATGCTAACTCTGTAAACCACTTAGAGAGGGCTGTAAAGAACTGTGAAGCGGTATATAAGTCTAAGTGCTATTGCTATTACATAAACCATGTTATCATATTTTTAAGAAGTCCAAAGACATTTGGTGTCAGTGATTGTGCTAGGTTTTCAAGTTGAGCTTCTTCTTCTTTAACATAATTCTTTGTCAACTTTATCTTCATACTTGGAACAATGCAGCACCTCTGATTTATCATGATACTGTTATTCCTTGACTGTCAGTTAAATTTCTATGTTCATATCCCCTACAAAAATATTACATTTGAAGATGAAGTCTAATTTTTGAACAAAAAGTTGAATCACATACAATACTTCAGGTGAACAAATTGAATAATTAAATTCTAATTTATTCAGTAAAAATTATAAAAGGTAAAAGCAATCCCAATTAACATAAAATTCAATGGCATCTTTGCTTCTGCCTTTCATTCATGCTTTTGTCAAAAAAAAATCTTTTTTATGGGTCTTCGATCTGCAGGTGTGCCTATGGATTCAAGCAATTCATAGATTTTTTTTTCTTGTTTGACAAAGAATTGAATTTAGATTCACACAGGTATATTGTTGCAAATGTGATGACATGGAGTGCTTTTCCACCAAGACTTGGGAACTTATCCAGCATTGCACATAAAAATTCTTCCAAAGTCTTGCTTTCAAATTACATTCCACAAGCTTGATTTGTCCACAAATCAATATGATTTTACTTCAGCTCTTCGTCATCTGACATTTTCTCCAAATTGTAGGACTGTGGATTCTTAATCCATTCTTCTGAAATCTTCAGATCTCCAGTAGTAAAATACCTATCAAATAATTCTGACAATATTTCTAAATGAGCCACAATCACATCACACACAGTAGGAATTATGAATCCAGCCTCATCAACCATCTTGTCAAGAGAAGGAAAATGTGAGAGATTGTCTCCTTCGATCCTTGAAATATATAACTTTTCTTTGGAGGCATTCAATTTTTCCCAAGCCTTCAACATCTTTATCCTTTTTCTTTGAAGAGAAACACTCAGATCATTCATACAAGTGAAAATGTCAGTTAAGCAAATCAATGTTTGGGAAAATCCCTTTAATTCTAATGCCCCAACAGATCAGTGATGCGACACAACTTATTAGGCAAGTTGTGATACTCATGAGATGAACTCCTACTGCACATATATCAATGTGTGATAGACGTGATACATCAAGTCAACCTATATCACAACAATATTAATAATTATTACTTACACAAGTGGGCTTGTGTAAATGTGCTGCTTGAGTGATGAAATTCATAAACCCTCACAGTGCACTCAACCAATGCCACAATTTATATATGAGTAACTTCTGGAAGTGAATGAGACTGTATAGTTGGTCTATTTCACTACCAATAAACGTACACCTCATTAGTATGAGTGAATGAAGAGATTGGGCTACCAGAATATGGTGAAATGAACACACACAAAAGAGTTACATCTCTTGATTCAGGCGAGAGAGAGACTGGAATGTGCTTGAGATAAAAGTTACCTCCTGTCTTTTCTTCAATCCTTCGGTCCTCAGTTCCTTCAATTATATATTGGGGGGGGGGGGAGTCTAGCTTCTAGGGAGGCATTTGATTGGCTGGATAAAGCAGGGCTAAGCATGGGATTGGCCAAGTGAATTTAAGAGAGGTGTGACAAGATGATGGGCAAGCTGAGAGGGCCCAACAGGTGAAATACATAAGGAAGTCATGAATTCATTAATTTATGAGGGAAATAATATACGATTATGTGCATTATGATTTTAAAAGCAGTACTCTGGAAATCAGATACGCATATGCTATTGATTAAATAAGACGACTACCTACGGAACACCGACCTATCATTGCTGGTGGCTGGCTGAGTGATGACTTGTGGGGCTTTTGGCTGCATTCCCTGAAATTCCATTTTGCACCTCCCAGGGGTGTGGCCAAGAAGTCCAGGTTGGAAATTTATATTATAAAACGTGTACCACTCTTCTAGCCAACTCCTTTATTTCTTTAATGGTTTCTTGTTTTGATTGCCAGGAATGGTTCCTAATTTGTCTGGATTATGTAATGTAAACTTTGGGCCAAAGTTTCTTTTATCAGGCGTTTAGATTTGTCCTGGTGTTTTGTTTTTTTTTGTTGTTGTTAGTTGCGAAATCATGTCTGACCCATCGCGACCCCATGAACAACATTCCTCCAGGACGTGCCTTTTGGTACTGTCCATGGAGTTTTCATGGCAAAGATACTGGAGTGGGTTGCCATTTCCTTCTCCAGTGAATCATGTTTTTCAATGCGCTCTGCTATGACCTGTCCGTCTTGGGTGGCCATACATGGCATAGTTCATAGCTTCATTGAGCTACGCAAGTCCCTTTGCCACAACAAGGCAGTAATCCATGAAGGGGCTAGTTCTTCCCTAGTGCATTATTTTTTGAAGTAATTATGATCTGTCTTGTAACTAGCTCAATTTACACTATAGTTTTTTTTTCCTTTTTCTTAGTATGTTTTGGTAGAAGCAGAAGTAATTCAGTCATCAACATATGAGCCTAAAGCCCAAGTCTTAATAGATTACAAAATCATGTAACTGTCAGAAACACTTCATAATTGTTTCTTCATGTAACTGTCAGAAACACTTCATAATTGTTTCTATTTGTGAATGCTGTGAGTTGCACTTTTCATGTATTGAATTCAGATTCCAAACTAAGGTAAAACAATCTTTCAACTTGTATATGAGCAGTGTTTTCGTGGTGCTGTACTTTTCTATAAAAGACAAATGATTTCTAGTTGTGAAAGTTAACTTCCCAAACCTTAGATGTTCTAAGATTTCCTGTCACTAGGTAAATCCATGCCATGCAACACTGAGCCCTTTTTTACCTTATTTCTGCACTTTTAAAAAAACTGGAATTTTTTATTGTACAAATCGTCTTTCTTCTCCATATTCTCATAAGCAGCTTTACATTGTACTCTTGTGAATATTTTAATAAACTTTTTTCATTAGTGGTCTGTTGTATGTCTCAATTTTTCAATCTATGATAGACAATGGAATAATTTTGTATAATTATAAAATTATATTATATATAAATGGAATTCAAGTGGCTGGATTCATATCATATAAAGCCAGACTATGT